GGGCTTGATCCCCAGTGGGGAGCCTGAAGGAGGCAGCCAGTCAGTTAATGATTCTCTTTCATTAATGATGTTTCTATAACTTTCTCCCTCTCTCTTCCTCTCTGATTTTTTTTTTTTTAATGCCATAGCTAGTTTGGCTCAGTGTATAGAGCATCAGCCTGCTGACTAAAGGGTCCCAGGTTTGACTCTGGTCAAAGGCACATGCCCAGATTAAGGGCTCGATCCCAGGGGGGTTGAGGTGGGAGGGTGGAAGAGGAAAGCTGATTAAAGATTCCTCTCTCATTATTGATGTTTCTATCTTTCCCTTTCCATTTCTCTCTGAAATTAATTTAAAAATATATATATATAATAAAAAAGTAATCATAAATGGTGATACATAGCTAAAACTATCAAATATCTCCAAATTCTATGATTAAGTTCAAAACATAAAAATTGGCTTGGAAATAATTATCTTCAACAACAGATTAAATCCTAATGTATTTCTATAAAAATATATAAACAGAAGAGGAAACACTGAAAATACAAAAGGTAAAGAAAATGAACAAAAAACCCCCTAAAATATGATCACTCAAATTAGCATTTAAAAATTAACATTAAGATGAATTATCATTGTATAATTTATCAGTTTAGCAAGTGACTGACAATGTCCATGCTAGTGCGGATGTGGTGAAAGCAGAACATTTATACTCTGCTGATATTTGCTTAATTTGGCACAATCATTTAGCAATTGTTATGTGTCATATAAATTAAAAACATTACATACTTTATTTACGTCATTTTTAAAAATTTTCCCAAAGGAATCAATCCAGAAGAAAGAGAAAAGACTCAAGATAGTCCTTAAAATACATTATAATGTATATTGGAAGCTCCTAATTGCCTCATAAGAGACTATTATTTCAATACACTTTAGTCTTTTTTTTTTTCTTATTGACTTTTAGAGAGAGAAGAAGGGAGAGAGAGAAATATTGATGTGAGAGCACATTGATCTGCTGCTTCCTGCCCACTTTCTCCCAGGGACCAAACCTGCAACCTTTCCATGCTCCAGATGAAGCCCAACAGAGTTTCACTGGCCAGGCCATTTTAGTCATTTTTAATGACAACCATAGCAACAAGGAAAGAGTTTATAAATAGAAATGGGGAAGGAGGGAATGGAAAGGAGCAAGAAGAAACATTTAAAATAATGCAAAATAAGGATTGAACTAGGGCAGGGTGGGGAACTTATGGCCCGCAGGTCATATAAGCCTGAGAAATCTTTTGGTCTGGCCCTGTCAAGGCAACCACAGGTGAGACTCAAAATTCAATAAATCTAGGATTTTTCCCCCCATAGCAACATAAATCTATATTAAGTGAATCATAATAATAATGCAGATTTTGAAGGACAAGCAAGGAATGACCATTATGGGGTAGATAGGACACATATGATGAGTACATGACAGTACAGACATGTATGCTCTCATCAGCTCTCCATGGTCCATATGCCTGTATTGCAGTGACTCAGAGGACAGTCAGTGCCAGCTGGCTGAGAGTGTACACATTGGAAAAGTGTAAACACACTGTGGTAAAACTATAGCGATTCAGTAATGATGAGACCAGATACAATGAGATTATCCCTAGGGACGTTGATGACTTTGCCTCCAATGACTGACAACGATGTTGTTGACTTTTTGTTGACACAGATGATAAATCCAATCCAATCTTTATCCACACATCCATGATCAACAATCCTAGTAAAAACTAATCTCAGATGAAGATTAAAGAAACAACAATACACTGAAATCGGTTTGGCTCAGTGGATAGAGTGACAGCCTGAGGACTGAAAGGTCCCAGGTTCGATTCCGGTCAAAGGCATGTACCTTGGTTGTGGGCACATCCCTGGTAGGGGGTGTGCAAGAGGCAGCTGATCGATGATTCTCTCTCATTGATGTTTCTAACTCTCTATCCCTCTTTTTTCCTCTCTGTAAAAAATCAATAAAATATATTTTTTTTAAAAAGAAGAAATAACAATACACTAAAAAGACCTCAAGAGCCCATGATACGAATGTTGGATATGTTCCAAATCCAGGATACAGGATTAGAACAGCGATCAAAGGAAAATAATTGCAGCACAGCGACACACTGGATAGTTATTAAAACTTAAGTGGTGTGACATCCTACAAATGGTGACTATAAAAAAAAGAGAAAACTTGATGTGCAGTGTCAATCTTTCCAAGAGAAATTAACAAATGATTATTTTGGTTAATCCTCACCTGAGGATAGTTTTCTTTTTTTTTTTTTTTTTTTTTTTTTTTTTTTAATAGAGTAGAAGGAAGGGGGACAGATACACAGAGAGACACATCGATTGTTTGCTTCCCACACATGCCCTGATGAGGGCCAAGGATTGAGCCTATTACTGAGGTATGTGCCCTTGACCGAAATCAAACCCTGGGCCCTTCAGTTCATGGGCTGACACTATCCGCTGAGCCAAACAAGCTAAGACCAAATGATTATTTTGTTGTTGTTGTTGAAGCCAAAGACAAACCTATATGCCCAGTTTGTGACGATGTGTTAACAATAATGAAAAAAGCCAACCTGGATCGTCATTATGGCTCAAAACATGCTATCCTCAATCAATTGAGAGGCCAAGTGTGTCAGGATAAAATCAATATTCTTCAGTGGAGTTTAGAATCACAACAATCTGCTTTTACTAAGCCTCCTTGTGACAGGGACAACATTATTCCGATGAGTTATGTAGTGAGGGAGCAAATCGCACAGAAGCTGAGGCCTCATGTGAGGGAGAGTTTGTGAAAGAGGGCATCGGGGCTGCTACAGAACTGTTAGTACCAGAGAAATTAAAATTGTTTCAGAGTGTTAGTTTGTCTTGGAGAACCGTCTCAGATGGAATTACCGACAGCACAAGATATTGAAAAAAACACTGAAGAATTTCCAACTTTTATCTCTGGCTTGTGACAAGACAAGGTCATAACAAATATCATACAACCAATCGGGTCATTTTCATTCATTCAGAGTTTGACACATGAGAGGAACTGCTGTCACTGGAAACCATGCATGGCACTTGTTTTAACAACGAAAAAAATCTGAGATAATAATTGAAAAGTGACCTTATTACTAACAGAGGTACAGCCATGATTGGCTCACAAAAAGCGTTAATTGCATTTGTCAAGAAAGAACTGAGTCATTTCAGTCTTGGTCCAAGGGGTTTAATTATATGCCACTGCACCATATACTAAGAAAATCTCTGTGCACAGTCATTGCGGCTCAACAATGTTTTATCAATAAAGTGTCACATGTAAATTTTGTCAGAAGCAGATGTTTTAATAGCTGCCAGGTTAAGGAGTTATTAATGATCTTGACTGAGTATAATGATCTCATTTATTGCTGTGAAGTGTGGTGGCTGAGTCGCAGGAACATGCTCTTGAGGTTTTATGAACTACAGGATGAAGTCAAGCAGTTCATGGAGATGATGGGAAAACCCGTCTGGGGAACTCAATGATAGCAAGTGACGGTGTGATCTAGTGTTCTTGGTGGACATTACCAAGTACCTCTCAGAGCTGAATGTTAAGCTGCAGGGCCCCAACCAGCTTCTCAGCTCCCTGCTTTCAAACGTGAAGTGAAATCATTTGAAGCTAAATTAAGACTTTTGGAAAGTGCAACTCAAAAGGAGTAATTTGGTGCATTTCCCTATTCTGGAAGGACAAAAGCCTTCTAGGACACTTGAATATGCTGGTGAATGTGGGAAACTATGAGGCCATTTAATGAAAGTTTCAAGGACATGAAAAGAAAACCAGTGGAACAGAACATCTTTGCTACACGGTTCAATGTGGAACCCACTGATGTGCATGATAACCTACAACACAAAATCATTCAGCTACAAAGCGATGATGGGCTGAAAGCTAAGTACAACAACCCCCTGCTTGAGTTCTATACACATGATGTAAGCCAGTGGCCGGCAAACTGTGGCTCGAGAACCACCTACGGGCGCAGCACATACAGTGCGATTGAAACTTGGTGGCCCATGCACAGAAGTTGGTTTTTGGCTCTCAAAAGAAATTTCAATCGTTGTGCTGTTGATATCTGGCTCTGCTGACTATGAGTTTGCTGACCACTGATGTAAGAAATGATGAATTTCCCACTCTGAGGAGACATGCATTGAAGTATGCATCTGTGTTTGGAACAACTTACTGCTGGGAGCAGTTCTTTTCAAAAGTTAGCATTACAAAGTCGACTGAGCTCCAGACAGATGGAGGCAATCCCTGGAGAAGCAGTTTCGAGTAGCAACATCAATACCAGCTAACCTCACAAGCCTCACTAAAGAGAAGCAGGTCTAGCCAACAGATCAAGAGTTAATTAAATGTTTGACCACATATAGCAGGCTAATTTTTAAGTTCATAATTTTGTAGGGCCTACGAAAGATGTTATAAATATCCACTGGCCCTTGGCAGAAAAAAGGGTAAGGTGACTGAGACACTCCCTTGGGTGGATACCAGAAAAAACACACATTTCACAACAATTAAGGTAAGCACTATTTTTAAAAGACAAAATTAATGTAAAAACATCCATGATGGAAAAAAAAAATCGCTATTTTAAATAAAAACAAGATCTGGCTTTTCATTTGCAGCATCCTGAGTCTGCCTCACTTGCCTCGCCCTAAGGGAAGACAAGAATCCTGCTGTTTACACTGATGGTCTTCATCATTACTTTTTGTAGATTTTTAAATAGAAAGCTATAAAATGCATTGAACCATCATTTATTCGAATTGAAGCCTCCAATTTTACACCTCGGATGAGTGCCTCTACTCGCCCTACACCCAGCCCTGTGTAAATCTTGGTAATAAACTGTGTTAAGAAGACAGTGGTTTTTATTTCTTCGGTGAATAAACTTTATATGTTTAAGCCCAAACTGAAAGTGCGGCTCCCCACAATCCTTAACCCTCAGGGCAGCGGCCCAGACTCTGGGAGGCCCCGGGGTGCGCGGTCAGGACAAGGGTTGCCTCGGGGCCTCACCATGAAGCGCAAGTTAGCCCCTGCGGGCTTGACCTTGCTTCGGAGTTCATTGTGGAGGTTCACGTACTCATTGATAAACCTTACGTCCTCTTCATGCGGCAGTAAGTCCGCGCTCAGGCCCGGAGTCAGCAGTAGCAGCCAGAGCTCAAAGAGCCACAGCTTCAAATCGGCCCCTGGCGCCGGGGGGAGCCACGGGACGTACCGGTCCGGTGCAAACGGCCTCGGCGCCTCCATGGTCCACCGGCCGAGGACCGGCCAGTGCGCACGCGCCGGCCCGCCCCAATCCAGCTGGCCACGCAGACCAGGTTGGCCCCGCCCCCCACAGACCAGGTTGGCCCCGCCCCCTCAGACCAGGTTGGTCCCGCCCCTTGAGGGCAAACTCTGCCCTTGTGAATGGTGTGGGTGAAGTTCCCCCTAGCCTGTAGGCTTCTGCAGGGACTCAGGGGGGCTTGAGTCCAATGAGTGCAGGCTCTTCACTAAGCTAGTTAATGTAGCTGGATATTATCCCAAGTTGATTTCTGGAACCAAATGATGTGTCATCGTTTATTAATAAGCCCTCTGTACAGTAAATACCAATTGCTGAATAATTGACTGAGAAACCTTCTAATATGCCAGAATAAATAATCATTCTTTTGTGATATTGATGTAAATTATTTCCCCCCTCCGCCATGGTTACCTGTTGACCTGGGAATTTAATGCAGAACATGCTCTTTATTTTCCTCGTAGACTGAAAAATACCCTCTTTAAGGTGGACTTCACTCAGATTTTTCTCTCAGTGTTTTGCAGGAAATCACAAAATAAATGGATGATTGGAAGCTCAACTAAGGATCATAAAATTATCATAAGCTTTAAATATTTCCATATTTTTCTCTTACCAGAATTTTATAGGCAGCCTGAAATATCAATAATAATCTTCTCTGACAAAATGTCCTGTTCATAGTAAGAAATAACTTATTTTTGTTTTCATTTCTCCTTTCAAACAACAATTACTAGTGTCCTACCAGATTTTGGCCTGTGCTTTTTACAAACAATTTGCTCTAGAAAACTTTGAAGGATATAAGTTCTAGGCACAAAAAAAAAGCACACTCTTGTTTGGGGGTTCCAATTGTATCCTCCTATATAATAAAAGGGTAATAATGAAAATTGATCAAATGGTGGAATGACCAGAATTCCCTCCGACCCTCGCCCTGGCCAGCCTACCCCTGATGGCCCCCATTGGGCACACCAGCTGGAACCCACCAGTGCATAAATTCATGCACTGGGCCTCTAGTATAACATATTGTGCTTGATAGCATTAAGGAGATATTCAAAATCATTGATACTGGGACAGAATTTTGCCACAAAGAAAGCATTATAACCAGTTGGTCAAAATATCTAAAAAGAAATGTGCTTTTAAAAATTATCTATGGTGTATACCAAGCATGTCAAACTCATGGCCTGTAGGCCACATGCAGTCCACAACAAATATTTTTGCAGCCCAGCTAATATAACAGTAAATAAGAAACATTTTAATAAAATTTTGTAACTTAATTTTTATTAATACAATATCCTATTACACATAATTATTAATAACAAAATACAATGTTTGCTAATAACTGATTACTATAATTATATTGCATTTATTTCCCTTAGGTACCTTACGTGCTCTCTTCCACTAATTCTAGCAGTGAATATTTTAGCAGCCAATTGCCACATCATTAGTCTTGGACTGACTTGTTTGGTGTGTGCAACAGGAAATATTTTACTTTTGGAAAACAAGAAATATAGGTTTATTTGCATTGTGCTTATTAATTTGTGCAGTTATTCAGTGTCTGGTAAGTTAATGTTCAAAAAAAATTAATTTTTATTAAAATGTTCTATTGTTTTATGTTAAAAACTAGGGGCCTGGTGCAAAAAAATTGTACATGGGGGGAGGGGAAGAGTGCTCTCTCAGCCCAGTCTAATTAGCATAATACCCTTTTGGTAGTATAGATAGATTATGTAGGATAGGATTGCTTAAATGGAATGGGGGAAGCCTTTTTCAGTAGGAGGAGATGCTCTTGGCAGAGAAAAACACATAATCCCTATATCTGGACTGACAGCCAGTATATGCACTATATTGCCAAACCAGTCATGAAAAAATTGAACCGCTTTTTTATACCTTATATCAAACAGCTGTTTCCCCTAAAACTCCTACTCAGCCCCCACCTTAGGTTCTGCCTTCGCAGTTCACCCATATTAGATTCTGATTGGTCAGTTTCTATGCCAGTCAGCATTAAAAGCTCCACTTCCTAGGCAGCCATTGGCAACTCACACTTCACCCAGATTTGGTTCTGGTTTCTATGCCAGTCAGCATCCAAAGCTCAGTCTCCTAGGCAACCATTGACTCCTGGCTCTTCACCCAGATTTGGTTCTGATTGGTCAGTTTCTATGCCAATCAGCATCTCTGGGCCTCTCTCTGGACCTGATCAAAGAGACAGGGCTGATCAGCAGCGAGAAAAACAAAGGTAGGCTGCTGGTGAAGCCAGGAGAGAAAGAGAGAGGCAAGGCTGATCAACAGCTGCCTTGTAGGCTGGGGATCAGACCTTGCCTCTCTCTCTACAGGCTTCTCACTGGGCCTGATCCATAGCAACCCAGCATTGACTTCAGGTGTTGCCTCCAGCCTTGGTTGTTAGGAACCCTGGCGCGTTCTCTCTCTCTCTCTCTCTCTCTCTCTCTCTCTCTCTCTCTCTCTCTCTCTCTCTCCATATATATATATATATATATATATATATATATATATATACACACATATTACTCATTTATTTTAGTCCTCTGTATTCAGCATGTCTCTATCGAAATAAACCTATGTTTCGGTGAAAATTGAAGCTTTTGTTTTTTTGTGGCCCACATAAACTTGAACCCTGTTTATTCGGCCCGTGTTAACCTTTGAGTTTGACATGCTTGGTGTACACAATTGAAAGCAATAGACCTCAGAAGATAGTTTCATTCATGCCTTTAGTCATTTAGTTAATATACATTACCAGACAGTGTGTTCTTGGGTTGACAATGATTGGTAGGCAAGACACAGGCTCTGCTTCCAAGTAGCTTACAATTTAGAAAACTAGCAACTCGGTAACTTTTATACCCTGTGAAAAATGCCAAGCCTTTCTTGAGTGTGTTGTCAAGAAAGTAAAGAACACAGGTGACTGAAACAAAGGAAAAGGCATGTAATATATATGCCAGGAGAGCAGAAAAGGCTAAGAATATTTTACCCACCAGAGACTATTTCAGGGGTGAAAATGGCAGGTGCTGAAAGGTGGAATTCCTTTATGATGTTGATACTGTTAATAGATTATGAAAATTGCTATAGTAAAACACAAGATTAAACAAAATAATGCAATCACAAAGAAATTTAGGCTGTTTTACTAGTTCCATGTTTTAGACATTTCTCTGACACATTATTGACAGGCGGTCATTATATCCTCTGCTTAAATAATTACACTCACAAGGAAGTCACCATTTCTCTAAGACTAGATTCCTCACTCAACAAGTATTTCTTTAGGACCTCTGTGTGTCAGAGCTACAAATGCTGAACAAGCTAGACATATGTATCCACATGAAGCTTTTAGTTAAAGGTGTTACAGACAAATCAAACTATTCTAGAACCATATTTTTTAAAAAATATCCTGACTATGTGTCAGGAGCTATTTTATTTTATTTTTATTGTGGTAAAATAGACATAACAAAATTTATAATTTTAATCATAATTAGTATAAAAATCAGTGGCAGTTATATTTACAGTGCTGTATAACCATTACCACTATCCTATGCTGTTTTAAATATGTGTCTACTCATTTAAAAAATAAAATAATCCTCAATATAGATATTATTATGTTCATTTTAGAGATGGAAAAAGTGAGAAAAAGTGGGAAGATGAACTTTACTTCATTAAAATATAAATAAAGGATAACTGAGAAAGGTATTTGGTACATAAATGTCAAAGGAGTAAAATCATGAATGTTTCATTAATGCAAATTTAAGAATAACTAAAAATTCCTGAGAAAATGAACAACAGCATTAGAAAAATGAATGAAGGAGGTGAACAAAAAACAAAACAAAACAAAAAAGACCAACCCAAAAATAATGTGGTAGAAGGTGGCCTTAGGAACTAACCAATAGTTTGCTTCCATTCCAAAGTTAAAACCATGAAATGGAGTATAAATCTGGAAATAGTAATATGAAATTTTGGCTTCTAAACTTACATTACTCTTAAATTCTTGAGGTCAATATTTATTTAGTATAGTAGTATGTATGCAACAACTTTTAGAAATCTTCCCTGAAACAACATTTCCCCAGATTACCTTAATAACTCTCAAAAAATATAGTATTTGTAAATCTGAGTGCAGTTTATGAAAATATATTTAAGTCTACAAATAATTAAAGAAATAAAAGTTAATATAATTTATCTCACACACTATTGAGAGGATTATATGAATTATATTAAAGCACTTAGTTGCTTGGAACATTGAAAATATTATTTAACTTTAGTTTGATTAAATTAATACTATTAATAAGTACTACCTCATTTTCATTTATATTTATGAGAGTTAAAATAAATTTTTAACACTTAGCATTTTGCCAGATATATTATTATATATCCTTAATACATACTTCTTGAATTATAGTCATCAGTGTGGTATCACTAATTATAAGGCACAAATCCATTGTGTCAATACCAGTTGAGTATCTGGTGATTTTCACTAGGGGTGCGTAGCTTTCCTGAGGGAAAATGGGACTTCCACAGAGAGTGATGATGATGGGATTTGCTTGTTTCCTTTGCTGCAGTGTGTACATCAGGGTAGATTGAATTGCAGATTACATTACCTAGTTTTAACTAAAGAAAGAATCAAAACATGATCATATGTCTTGCAAAAATAGCTGAAAAGATATTGCAGATTATAGTTGTAAAGATATAAATACAAGGAAACAATATCAATCATTTGATTATTGTTTTCCTAGCATAAACATCTCTTTTATACATTTTAAAATTCATTTTATGTTATCTTTTTTAGGTTTAACTTTTGTGTATTTTTAAATATATATTGCTCTATTTTAAAAATACACACAATACAAATAATTAATGCTACATATATACTTTTGGTTCAAGCTTAGAGTCACTAATTTCCTGGTTTGTTAGGGAATGCCTTGGGCTTACTGTGTTTTCCTATGTCCTGGGAAACACCTCAGTCTCAGGCAAATCAAGACTGTTGGTCACTGCAATATATATATATTTTTACTGATAGAA